CCTCAACTTCGACATCGTCTCCTCGAACTTACTACATATGCGCATGCAGAGTACAGTGGGAGCAAACGAGGTCGAGGTTGTTATTGTCGTTAGGCGTGAGGAGAAGGCCAGAGACGGGTAGGGGGCGATTAAGGACGCAGGGCGCTGATTGGCCAGGAAGTTGTTGTTGTCGCTAAGTGGTGCTGTGTTGTCTGGAAAACGTGGCAGGTGCCAGCGGGGGCTGGGGGGGCGAGGGGCGTCGCGGGGGATGCCATCGATTAATTGGAGATTAATTGGCTTTGGGGATAAATAGAAGGGGTTTTGAAGGAGACGGGAGTTCGCGCCTGGGAGGAGAAGAAGAAGGCTGAAGCAACAGAGCCAGAAGCAGTGGAGAAGTGTAGGGTAGCAGTGGAGAAGTATAGGGTAGCAGTGGAGAAGTATAGGGTAGCAGTGGAGAGGTATAAAGTAGCAGTGGAGAAGTATAAGGTAGCAATGGAGAAGCCAGGAGAAGCGGCTGGAGTGTGATGGCGAAGCCAGCAGAAAGCGGCTGGAGTGTGTCGGCGAAGCCAGCAGAAAGCGGCTGGAGTGTGACGGAGAAGCCAATAGAGATACGGCTGAGTGTGACGGGGGAGCCGATAAAGAGCGGCTGAACTGTGATGGAGAGAGTGGAGAGGAGAGTCGACAGAGGAGAGACACGGAGCGAGCGAGGCCGGCGGAACGCGGCGAGCGAGCGGAGAGCGCACTGGAGGAATGTTGATTGGTGTTAGCTGGAGGAATGTTGATCGGTATTAGCGAAATAAAGTGAGAGAGAAAAGCAAGAAGCTGTCGTGTCAAGTCGAGCACTACAACTGGCATCAGAAGTGATTAAATAACCGCGCTGACATGTCAAAGAAAGTTGCTAAGAGGAAAAATGTACCGGCGGGATCGTCGGCCGACAGCAGCGATGCAGACGTGGTACCCCCATCGGGGCTGGAGGCTGTCACTCCCCCGGCGGACCTGGATTGAGGGGCACCTCCGCGAGAGGAGGATGACCCAGACGACGATGCAGAACCGAGCCCGGCTCACGTGTGGAGGGCTGTGATGGCTGAGTGGGAGGCCAAGATGGTGGTGCTCGCGAAGGAGTTCAATCAATTCATGCTATCGATACGAGAGGCGCCGACAGGATCAGACCAGCCGCCGCACGAGCGTGTGACACCAGCGGTGGCCGACGGCGCAGCTGTGTCTCCCGCTACGCCAGGAACGGAGCCAGACGCCGATGGGGCACCGGGGTTGCCGACTCCGGGCTCACGACGCCGGCTGCACGTGGAACGGTGGATGGCCCTTGTATAGCGGCAAATGGGGGCAGTTTGGGAATTTTGGGTCGCGTGCTCGCAACAATTCAAGTTTGGGAGGTGTGTGTAACAGGATATATTTTTGGTTCGACTGCTCTGGCCGTGCCATGTTGTTGGGCACAGATTTTTTTTACGAAAGATGCCACTTAAGATCTCAATGGAGAGGGGATGTTGGAATTGCCATCGGGGAAATGCCTTAAATTTTTGGGACTAAATTTTCTCATGTAAATGCCGTGGTGCAGGCGGTGGTTAGTCGCACAGTGCGTGTTCCGCCTGCAACGCAGATGCTCGTGCCGTTGCGCTTGAAAAAGGGCCTGCCATTGGATAACCTGTGGGAAGGTATATTGTTGACGCCGTCAAACGCCGTGGCACGGACGACCTCCTTGGTCGGAGCTTTTCCGATGGTTTCGGCAAATTTCGAACCATTTATACAGGTTGTTGCTACGGGGCACGAGTCAGTTGTTATTCAAGAAGAAGAAGGTACTACGTTAGCGCATGCATCGGCTACGCAGAACTCAGATGGGGATGCGTGCTTGGCAGCGGGTGAGGAAAATGCGCTGCCGCAGTGTGATGAGGAACCGGGATGGTTCCGGGATTTGTAATGTAATGATGATTTGACATCCGAGCAGCGGTCGCGTCTTCGTAAGCTGATTTTGGAATTTAAGGACATCTTTGGATCAGGGAAATATGATGTCGGTCGCATGTCCCTATTGAAACATCACCGGATTGCAGTGGGAGTCATGCTGATATACCTTGACAATGTCATTGTGTTCAGTAAGGATTTTGAGGGGAATTTGCAACGGTTGCGAGCTGTGGTTGGCCGGGTACGGGATGCCAATTTGAAATATAAACCCCAAAAATACCATTGTTGAGAACGTCTGTCAAGTATTTGGGTCATGTTGTCAGCACGGCGGGAGTGCCACTGACCCGGAGAAAACGAGTTGTGTACGCACGGGGCCAGTGCCGAAAACGGTGTCGGAGGTGCGTAGCTTCGTGGGATTTGCGTCGTACTACCGTCGATTTGTCAAAGATCTCGCTACGATTGCAAGGCCGCTGCATACACTGACCGCTAAGGGTGAAAAGTTCCTATGGGGTGACGAGGAACAGCGTTCGTTGAAACGCTTCGGGACGCTTTAGCAGACGCACTGCCGCTCGGATCCGCATTTTGGAGAGATGTTGTTCTTGACACCGATGCTAGTGATGCGGGCATAGGCGCTGTTTGTCACTATCTAGGCTTCGGGCCTCCCGTGCTAGAGGGTCGGAGGATCGGCCCTTCCTTCGGCTCATAGATGATCTCCTAGTAAGGTGGGATGTCGTGTTGCAAATTTTTTGTATTGTGGTACTGTTGTGCTTGAGGGGAAAACTTATTCACGATGTGCACGAGCGTTGATGCAGTTGGGTGAGAAGAAAACCGCATTGACTTTGAGTAACGATTTTTACTGGCCGGGTTTGCAGAACGATGTTCATTTGTACGTTAAGGCATGTAACGGGTGCGCGCGGTGAGAGGCACAGGCGCGACCATATCGAGTGCCGTTGCGAGCACCAGAGGTCTCACTGGGAAACACGGAGCGGAGGCAGGCGGCTAATGAGCGCCTGCACGGTATACAGCATCCGTGGGAACGATGGCAAGTGGGGGACAGGGCTTGGCGGCATTGTCCTATGTGCCAGTGGGCACCGTTTTGATCGCAACACAAGTAATCTTCATCCGGTGAGAAATATCGCGGGAGAGCTGCTGAGAATATATATTAGCGAATATACAGCGGTGAGATTAAACCCACAACATTTTAAATTCGTGTACAAAATGATAATTGGCATTCTTATTGAGTTGAACCAAATGCTTTTAAAAGTATGCGCTTCCAAAGTAATAATAATTTACATGTATTCGTAAGGCGCCTTTCGCTAACGTCTCAAATGCGCGTGGCTGATGGGATGCGTCAAAGCGTACCTTGGCATTGTTTATGTGTGGGGACAGATGTGGGGACAGATGTGAAAGTGGCGCATTGTTCGCGTGTTTGTATTGCGAGTGGACGAGGTGACATTCGTGTTATACGTGAGAATGTCTCCATTTTGTCCTTTGCATCGAGATTATTTAGATTAAATGTCCAAATGAGAAGCCACTTTGTTGAGCTATCATTTGTGATCGCCAGGCCACATCTGAAAAACAAGTTAATACCTCAGTGGGCTTTGCCTGGTAGGATGTGGATGGTTTAGTTTTATTTGTATGTTTTTGGGTGATTTGTTTACCTTTCTTGTAGTTTGCACTACTATCATGTATTTATACTGTTTGTTGTTGTAACGTTCTTACTCGCCCCCACTGGACATCTGTGAGAAAGAGCTTTATAGCTCATCGGATTCCTCCAGTATAAATTCATATTCTGATTCTTCAGATTCCAAAGAACACAGGATGAGATGTTATTATCCTTTGTGCAAGCACTTCCAAGAGTTCATGAACAGTGAGCCTGGTGAAATTTGGGGAGCGCATCGTCAGTAGTGAACCTTTGGGTCCTAGGGTGTTTTGGCCTTTCATACTATACACCCTCCCCAAAGGCGGCCAGCGACAGGGTGATCAATCCTACGCTTGCGTCCCATTCCCAGTTAGTCATAGGAGTTGCCTTGTTGTTGGTAGCCAACATCCCAGTGTATCTCAGTAAAGTCGGTGTTCATCATTCGCGTGTTGTTCACCTGGTAGCCACTTTGACGGCAGAGGAATATCGGCGTCTTGCAGTTTGGACTGGGAAGTGCCAAGCAACGCTTTCTAAACTTGGGAGCTGCCGCTGTCTCCCTGGGTCCTCAGGGGGAGCTGACATCACGGATAAGCCGGAGAGCGACATTCGTCCCAACCTCGTTCACTTCGCTGCTCCCCAGCCTGCTCCCTACCCCCTTCTGCACCCCGCACCCCCTTCACCCCGCACCCCCTTATTCACCCATCATCCCCTTTACCCCTCATCCCTCTTCACCCACCACCTCCTTCACCCCGCACCCCCTTCCTCACCCATTATCCCCTTTACCCCTCATCCCCTTCACTGCGAACCCCCTTCACCCCTCACCCCTCTTCAACCACCACCCCCTTCACCCGGCACCCCTCTTCACCCACCACCCCCTTCACCCCGCACCCCTACACCCCCTCACCCCTCTTCACCCACCACCCCCTTCACCCCGCACCCCCTACACCCCCTCACCCCTCTTCACCCCGCACCCCCTTCACCCCGCACCCCCTACACCCCCTCACCCCTCTTCACCCACCACCCCCTTCACCCCGCACCTCCTTCACCCCGCACCCCCTTCACCCCGCACCCCCTTCACCCCTCACCCCCTACACCCCCTCACCCCTCTTCACCCACCACCCCCTTCACCCCGCACCTCCTTCACCCCGCACCCCCTACACCCCCTCACCCCTCTTCACCCACCACCTCCTTCACCCCGCACCCCCTACACCCCCTCACCCCTCTCCACCCACCACCCCTTCACCCCGCACCCCCTTCACCCCGCACCCCTCCTCATGCCACGCCAAGAGGAGCAGGGCCACACAGGCACGTCTCTCTCTGCACCCCCCCCGCCGCCGCCCCCCAGTGACCCACCCAGCCAGATTTGGCTCTCCCCCCCCTCTCTCGCCCACAGTCCGATGGCTCCGGGCGCGTTATATTTAACCGCGGTGCGCACCGCGTCCCGTCGTCTCGTGCAGGGTGCGGAGAGAGCGAGCGGAGAGAGATCGCTGCTGCCGCTCGATAGCCGAGTCGCCCCGTCACAGAGAGCGACTCGCGGCCCTAATGGCTCTCTCACGGACGCCGCCGCGGCTCATCTTCATGCTCGCGGCTCTGGAGGTGAGTGTTCAAGCCGCGTGCTTAACGTTTAAAGTTCTGCTGCTCACATCGTACAGCCGGTTTGCTGGGGTGTCCTCGTATGTGTCTGTGCACGTATGTTCAATTTCCTTCGCGCACCGTACGTAGCCAATTATGCTGAAGGATCACAAACTGAAGACACAAAGCGGCTTCTAAAGAAATCCCATTTCTGGAGAGCAATGGTCCATTGTGTCAATGGTTTAATCGCCAGCTGGTATTCTCCTGCAAGGAAATTGCCGAAGCACACCGTTTGTAAAGTGGCCTTTATGGAACTTTGAATATTGCTTCTGATGAGAGAACACAGTGATGGACTCTGACAGTCAGTATGACCACTGGTCATTGTGCGCAGCTTCTCATCAGAGACCCACAAATAGAACATTGCAGTAACTTCCACTCACTCGCCGATACACGCGACGCACTACAACGGACGTGCGTTTGTCTTCTTTGCAAATACATCTCCGGCGACTTCTCAAGTGGCTAATGAACGCTTTCTTGTAGCTTAGGCCATCGATTTGAACTGGAGAGCTATCGTTTTTATGAAGCCAGCATTTAGTGATACTGCTTTAGCTGCGGTGCACGAGTACTCTTAACAATACAACTCCACACATTTGTCAATTACACTGCCTTAAAAGGTGCACGTCATGACAACTGAAATCACCCTGAAGAGATATGATAAAAATGTATCCGTTACACACAGTACCGCATTATGATAATCTATACCCGTCAACCCCTTATCAGTGCCCGACCTTATTACAGACCAATTAAAACCTTATTGATCACCCTGTGTACCCTTATACATCTCAACGTTCATCGTACAAAGTCCCATCGCAAGGGATTTATTTAGCCGTATTGAAACGGCTGTACGCCGTATGGGCATGATTTCCCTGTATAAGAATGCGGGTAAACAATATGGGTTGACAGCTAAGGGATAGGTCATGTTTGCGAACTGCGCATACAGTACACGCACTCTATGAAGAGCTGATGATTCTGGGTGTGAGGAAAGCAGCCTCTGTGGGCGCTGCAATTTGTACGACCGCATACTTGGTCATTTTAATATATGCCGGTATACGTACATCACATACGTATATACATTGTTAAAATAAAGCTACTCCACAATTACTATAACTCGCGGTTGAAGCCATTATTTTAACATTACTACCAGAAACGCGTAGCTAATTGTGAGAAGTGGAGAACAGGTGGTGACATATTCCAGCGGGGTCAACCCTTGGGCTCCCAAGTCGACGTGAGTAAGATTCTTCGAATTCAGCACAAAATTCCTTGCTCAGTGCACTGGGCCTTACTGGGCATTTCGGTTGAATCCCACGCATTCTGCACCTGTCGTGCTGTGCAGGCCTCGCCACCTGCTGTAGACTCCACAGCGACTTTTCTTCATTGCATGTTGGGAGAGAAATTAACCCAGCAGGCTATATAATCGGGTTAAATATCAAAACAAATATTGCAATGATATGCAACAAGGCAAAGTGACGTGGTGCAATGCAGTTGATGACAGCAACAGGATGCAGGCTTATTTTTATTAACCACAGTTGCATAGCTGTCAACCCATACGGTTTACCGGTATTCATTTACAGAGAAATTGAGTTTTCAGGTCCATACGGCGTACAACCGTTTCAATAGAGGAAACATTTGTTTTGTCTATTTCTTTCTGTTTCTCCCTTGTAATGGGATTTTGTAGGATGAACGTTGAGATTTATAAGGGCACGGGGTGACCAATAAGGCCTGAATTGGTCTCTAATAAGGTGGAAAACTGGTAAGGGCTTGACAGGTATACAGTTGCTGAGCACCACTAGACCCAAAAGATCAAGCGACCAGCAAACAAACAGCACTACCGTCCAAGTTGTGCTAAGCGGTAACACGTTTCTTGAATTGAGAAAGGTTATTTTGATAAGAGCTTGGGAAGAGACGATGGTAGGGAATTCCAAAGTGGAGTAGCGCAAGGAAGAAGCAGACAGCATGCGTTGTGATCTGCGGTGTGGTGGTTGAACTTGGTGTGGGTGGCTGAGGCAGGAGTCAACCTGCATTGAAGGAGAAGTCAATGAGTGAAGTTCACGGAAGCAGTAACTTTATATATCTATTTTTTTATTTTAGCAGGTAAGGCCCACTGAGCTATACAGCTCTTTTTCAGAAGCGACCTAGCCACAAATGATAGCTCAACGAAGTGGCTTATCACGTGGTAATTCATAGCAGCCAAATACTCTAAACGCATGTTTTTAAATCCACGCGACCACGGGGAGAACATACAAACTACAAATATACAGGTGTCAGGATCAGGATCGAAACCACAACTTCCTGTATACTAGGCGAGGTATTTAACATCTCACCACTGTGTGGCGCCCAAGGTGGCTATGTAATTCAACAAAAAAACACATTGAAATGTACAGAAACACTGAAGTAAACGCTCATCTAAAAAAAATGTCAGTGTACAAATATGAAGTGGCTAATATTGCAAAGCTCTCTCTACATCACTGTGAATCTGCAGTCGTATCAGGGGAGGCTCTATCAGTCGCCGACACAAGCTTCAAACACGGCGGCAGCCCAGGGAAGCTATCAAACGCTTCTCAGCTTACGCTGAGATTTCTCGGAAGGTTGCCTCTGAGTTTTGGGAATTTCTCTGAATCCCTAACAACAGGAACCTTGCTTGGATCTGGTGGAGACTGCTCTACATTGCCCTGCACGTGCCCTCTTGTGCAATGCGATGCGAATGTGACGGACAGGTGGGGTTACATCATGAACCACTAGATTGTCCTGCCACATGTAAACTCGTTACGTGTACAACCTGAGATGGTTACCTCTCTACAGCCACCAGTGATAGCAATTCTATTTCCAACTATTCACGACCATGCCTCATCTATCACCGTCTAGTGCTGAATCTAGAGAGGCAAGTTTTGCGGTGTTTGGGGTTTCTCTCATGGCTGTGAACCTCATCACAAAACACAAATTAATCATGAGCGTCACTGTGTAGATTATAGGTAACAAAGTAAATAAGCAGATGCACGCCTGCTCCCCATATCTGGTGAATTGTCTACTTATTCATTGTGTTACTTTAAGTCTCCACAACAAATCGAATGATTATGTCGTGTATTACAGAGTTTTGCATCGAACTAGGACCCATATCTAACAGAGAGGATCCTTGCCTATGAATATCTGGCAGTTCACCAGCATTGGTTCAGCAAGCCCGACTCTGCTGATGAGACACTGACTGTTAAAACTGGTCCAGAGATTGCTGTTGAACAAATGTTGCTGAAATTAAGCACTCCCAGAATTCCATGTGGCTGATGTGTTGGATGTGTAAAACTAAAATTAGTTTTTATGTGGAGGGACAGATATGTGAATGATGTAAATTGCCTGCTTATATATGTATAGCAGTAGGTATTCAGCATTCTGAGATATGCCAAACCATATACTGTCCCTCGATCAACAGTGTCTGCATCTGCTTATGGGAGACAGGAGAATGTTGGCGATTGTGTTGGACAGTGGGTAAAGGCCTCGGATGGCCTCAGTTGGCGGTGACGACAAACTCAGTAGGCTGAGCCGTGTAATTGCGTTTTCAGAGCACGGCGCGGGCGCAGTTTGCCGGGTACGGAGAACGGTAGCCACGACACCTGAGCCCCGACCGCGACACAAACACGATACGCGGCTTCCTCCGCATGGGAAGTAGACCTGCGCGTCTCGGGCCCGTGGGCCTCCACGCATTCCTGCCACATTGTTTCTATTCCTGTGGATGGCATGGTCCCCAGATCTCCTTACAAAGAAAGCAGAGCCCTGTGAGAGTTCTCCGCGGAGCTTTAATTAGAGGCGGCTTCATCTCCACTGGCCTTGACGAGCCTCTGTGAAGGTGCTGTGCATGCCTTGAGCGGGATTGGGTCTGTGCTCAGCACTCAACTTGCTGCAATCAGAAAGCTACGACTTCGAATCTGGGACCGAGATCGGCTCGGCCGTTCATCCCGCCAGGGTCAAACAATGTGACCCTTTATATGGGAGTGAAGAGTGCTTTTGAAGTGAATTTGCTTGTCCCCCCACCATAGGAATGTGGAATTTCATCCCATGGATCAGGGTTGTAAACAAGAGGTGAGCACTTACACTCATTTGAGTAGACAATAAATAATCAGAGAGCTGTAATGTATATCCTTTAATCCCTTAACCCATTTGTGGTGATCCAAAGCTGGGCATTGAACATTCGAGAAAACTCATCTGTCTCATGAAGTAGCCAATCATTATGCAGACATATATATATATATAATTCACAGGAATGGTAACCATGGTATTAGCGATAGAAGAGCGATAAGGAGGCGACTGCTGATGAGCGAGCGACAGGAATGGATGAGTGAGTGCTGGATCATCCATCAGCCGGAGGTGGGAATCGGGTGCTCACCTTAGGCTGCTGCCACAAAAAAGCAATATTTTGCTACGGTTAAGTTGGAGTTGTGCTCGTGCGTTATACTGAACATGCCTGAGAAAGTATTACCGTGTAAATATATTCATTGGCACAAGGTCAGTTTTCGCAGAGTGGGTGGTGGGGTTCCGGTGGCTGTCAAGTATGATGATGATGATGATTTGTGGAGGCACTGGCAACACAGACTGTGGATACTGAGATCCTGCAATGAGGCCACTTCTCAGAGAAGAGCAGTGTCATCCTGTATCCGAAATGTCAAATGTACAGATTGTATTTTAGAAAAAGAAGCTAATGCATCAAAATAGTCTCTCACTTTGTTAACTGTATATGTTAACAATAGGTTTTGCGGACCTTACTGGCATTTGTCAAGACATTTTGTGAAATGTTATTACCCCCGGCAGGTGAGGGTAATTTGATGCAGATGTTAAGCAATACATTTACTTTGATTTCACAAATTAAACATGCATAGACCAACATCAGGATGTCATCAATGGCCAAAGTCGTTGATGTCACCACCACACATCGCCAAGGCTGTCTACCCTCGGCCAGATCCCACAGCTACCTCCGAAATCTTCCCTGACAGTCTTCCCACCATATGCTCTTAAATATGATCACATCGGCATCTATATATTTACAGAGCCATAGGCTCACACAGAGACTTACACACTCACATAGACACCCATAGATCTGTCCTAACAGTCTCCATCTCGCCTAAGCTCTTTCCCTAGGTCGCCAAACTCGTAGAGACCATTCGAATGCCTGTCTTTGTAAGTGGCCCACCCCAATTCTGCACACACGTCCCACTCTATCACGATTTCCTACCATGTTCTCTCCTGCACTTCTGCACGGCTTCTCCTGTCTTGCCACGGAATTTCCAACATCGTATCAAACACATGTGCTCAAATTCCAGCGACTTATTTCTGAGCTGCTTCGTTATTATCGTGGCAATAAACCTTTACGGGACGTCCACGCATGTAATTACAGAAGCGCTTGAATTACTGTGAGTTGAGCCGCTGCCTGTCTGGGGTTGATCCAGATAGTCTGGGAATTTAGCCATGTACCCGGGTTAGAGGCGACAGGTTATTTGACCACCTGGTAATGTCTGAGATTTAGCCCCTGAGCCAGTTTCCTGGAACCCTTGGCACTCAGCCCACAGCCCGTCCTTTTGCGCTGCACTACTCGGCCCTCCCCTCTCCCCACTTCACCTTCGGGTGATACTCGTGCCTGAGTGTGCTCAACCAAAAGGAGGTAGTCTACAGCAGCCGTGAATGGGGCATCCATTCACTGGCCATGACAGTGTTTAACTAGCTGAGATACTATTGCGGTACGATATATAAGTATGGCAGTGTTGTTCAGTTAATTTGATAGTGGATTTACGTTTGTGAAATTTGGATTATCGGTTTTGATACCAGCGTGCAGCAACGGCCACACTGTCTATGGCACGACCAGTTTCTTTGTCTTAAGTTTCGTGGCAATGTGGTCACGGCCAAGACGATTCCCTTGTTAGAGGTGTGTGGTTTGCACGTTCGTAGAGCAGTGGATAGAGCACTGCGCTATTACCCCAAAAGCATGGATCTGACTCTTGGCCGTGTACACTGGTGGGTGTTATTATATAGAACTGGCCAGGGGTTCACCGTGGTTTAAAGTCACGAATGTTCATTATTGTTGCACGCTTAGCAACGCCACTTGGAATACAGAGTCAATGTGCCTCCTACCACTCTGTGGTGTAATTTGGGTGGCAGGATGGCGCAGTGGCTCACAGAAAGAAGTGCCTGGGTTCGATGTATGACCTCGGCACCTTTCTGCGTGGAGTTTGAAAGTTCTTCCCTTGGTTCTGCATGGGTCTCTTCCCGTAGCTAACAAAGACGTGCAACGTACCTCGTATGAGCCGAACTTCCCAATGCTAAAAATATATCTGCCCATTACTGAATTGGGATTACACGCAGGAACATCGCATAGCTTCACAGAAGCTCTGTCATGGTGTGACTGCCATTTCATCGTCAATGGCCGATTCTGTAATAACTGTTAAAATAGTCTCTCCATAAAGTGGTCACAATTTATCAACCCGAGAGGTTTGATGGGGTGAGTTCACCCCCAACGAGGATTTGAACTTACAACCTTCCAAGCCACTGAGTCACTTGGCTGAGTGGAGCGGCTGAGCCACCGGGCTGATTGGAGCCGCTGAGCCACCTTTGCTAGCCGCTGAGCGGAGCCGCAATAGCTCGGTGTGCGCGTGGCCCCGCGGTGCAGGTCCGGCTGCTGTGTGGAGTGGCTCTGCCTGCGGTGAGGCACGGGAGCCAAGAGTGCTGCGAGGCCTGGGACCCCGTGGAGCGCTCCTGCCTGCTCTGCGCCGCAGGTGAATGGCCAGGGGCCTCGTCCCATCAATGACAACGCCACAACATTAACGTGCAGACAGCACGCCTCCTGCCCATACCCTCCACATGACAAATAATACTAATTTACATTTGTAAGGCACGTATTTACATATTTAATCATCCTAATTACATGTGTAGTGAATCACTCGGAGACACCAATTGTAGGAGGCACTCTATTTATTACAGCCTTCACAGGCACAGAGGCTAACTACATTAAGGTCAGGACAGCTAACAGGCTGCCTGACTTACAACGCCGAGAGGGTGAAGGCGGTGACGAAAACTCCAAAAACTTGACGGTTCCACTCCAACAACAGCCCCGAACCTTCGATTGGGGTCTCGCTTTTATCCACCTAGCGTTGCCTCGCTCCGCCTTCGGCCACGCCCCATTATAGAACTCACTAGAAGGTTCCCGGGCTTTACCACACGTCCCCTTTAACCCCCTCGCCTCACGTCCCCTCTGTCCCCCTTGCCTCACGTCCCTTTGCCCCGGCGCTATGCGCCATAGTGACACATTACATGTCACTACACATGTATATAGCGCTTTTCATTAAGGATATCAAAGTGGTGTACAGGACACAGCAGTTGCAGACACTCAGCTTGAAATAATATTATAAATACATTTTAAAAAACATTTATTAAATGAACAAAAAAATAATAAGCGGTAGCGTATAAATAGGTTTTAAGCACATTTTTAAAATGTCCACAGACTCAGAGATTCTGATATCTCATGGAAGAGCGTTCCATAGCCTGGGGGCTACACGGGAAAAAGCTCGGTCACCCATAGACCGAAACCTCGACCTGGGAATACAGAGAAGATCTGCATCCCATCAACCGCACGGTCTTGATTCATTATTGATTTTTGGGTCAGGTCAGGTCCCGTAAGCAAAATACGTGTCGTAAACCCTCCTCTACCCGACACAGCTAAATTATACATTCATCGGGTGAATAAAAGTGCCTAATTAATTATTGCTTCAGCAGCAGTGGCAGCCATTGATACCTAGATGTTAATGTTCCTGCATGAATTATAAGATTATATTATAAGATAATAAATAATGTTAGATACGTCAATCTAAAGGTATGGATAGTATATATGTGGTGGAACAGGTTAGTCATTGTTATTTAGTTACACTAGACAGTTACGTTAGCTTATAATAAATGACGGGAGATATGTTAATATGAGGTACAACAACTTACCTGGTCATACTGGTGTAGTGTCAACGATTCAGAGTTTCTAGGGGGCACTTTCTTCATTAACAACTCTCACGGTCTCGTCCACACACTCTCCACAGTAGCTCAGCCCAGCCTGTACACAACACTAGCCGTCTAACACTGACAGCGCTGACTGAGATAGCCAACTACTCTCCTTCGTAGCGCAATATTTAGCGGATACATTTAGCGACGACGACGGCGACGAGACGACAGCAAGGACGAGACGAGTCCACGCCGAGAACCGGCAGCCTCAAGCTCCCGCTCTCTGCTCCTTTTATGCTCCCAGCGAGGCCTGGCTCCGCCATGACCGCGCCTCTCTTCTCGAACCCGCCAGCAGGTTCCAGGGGCCTCCAGATGGGGTCCTCCGTGACCCTTGTTCTAGTTTCTCCAATCTGCCAACACACCCGTGCTCACGCTCACCAGCATGTGTACTGTCTGCCCACTACAATTTCCTCTACTGTCCACCAACCGGCACTGGTAATGTTTTAATGATGCTGTGTTAGTGTAAAATAATGTACACTCAGCCTAGAGTTGTCTCAATTTCAATAGATGTTCTAATTAGTCTTGGCCAATAGTAATTTTTTTGTATAGGACATCAACATGATCAATATCCATCAAATGTCCTGGTTGGCAGGTATAATCCACAACTCTAACAACTGTGTTTGTGAGTATTCCATGTTACTCCGTTAATATTGTATTCTGTTGTATGTAGGTATGTTGAACTTCTTTCGCACCGTACGTAGTCAATCGTGCTAATCTCTCATGCCGTCTGGCCAGCAATTCAACGTGTGTCACGAATGCAAGTAATCTAGCAAACTAATTTTTTTTTTATTTTGGATAAAGTTAATCCTTGGGACTGTGCCAAATCTCACAAAGATTTAGTTTTTCCAATAAGCTATCTAACTTATCAGTGACTCCCTGCAATGTAATTGTTCTGATTCCATTTTATTTCTTGTGTTCCCCGATTTGTTTCTAATACTCAATTGTGTGTTGAGTTGTGAATTATTGTATCCGTTCAGGTGGAGGGGAGGAGGGTGTATGACACACATTTCACTCTCGCGATCCGACTCGGATTTCAATTAAGAATTAGAACACTGGTCGCGAAAACCTCTACGTGAAATCCACACGGCATTCTGGGACTGCATTATTTCAACGACCTTCGTTTCACGCAAGCAAACTCTGGACTGGCTTCGACATTCAGAGTCTCATCAGTAGAGCCAGGCTCGATTGAACCAATTCAGTTGAACTGCCAGGTGTTTATAGGCAAGGGTTGTCTCCGTAAGATATGGGTCCTAGTTCGAAGCAAAACTATTAAATACACAACACTAATTTATAATTAGCATCGTTGTGGAGCTTATAACAAAAAATGCTATCAGAAAACAATGCACCTTCTTCGCATATCTCTCCTGCCACATAAAAATTGAAGTACTTGTTTTTTACACATCAGCCACACGGTCAAAAATATCATGCTTTATATAAACTGTAATTAAACATTATTGGGGAAAACATCTCTTTCTGTTCAATTTACACATGAAGTTGAATGTGGCCGGGTGGTCAAGTGGACCATTCATTGCCTCTGCCGGCCCTGCTCAAACCTCGATTGAATTCGAGCGGACAACTGAGTGAAACCAGCCCAACTATAATCCACATTATTGGTTGTTCCTTAAGAATTTACTGCACCACTCCTCTCACAGCCTCATCCCTGCCGAACTGCCACATTCCACACAGAGCCACCATTGCTGAGCATGGCAGGTCACTACTCGTGAACAACAGAGACCATGAGACGCAGAACCAGAGCTCTGGACGTTCGACTCATCTAGGCTTGAGTGAGCGCGCCAGATGATCCGGTGGTCAGCTGCACGCAGAGTCCGCTCGGCATGCGCCGTGTGCGCGCCGTGGCCACCCACCTCCTCGTCGTGCGCCGTGCCGGCCTTCACGAGTGCTGGCTCACAGCACTTGTCCCCAACAGTCTGTTAAAGGCTAAACGGGGGATCTTTGTCTCTGCAGGGTGCTACAAGGTGGGCTCCGAGGCAAGGGACGCGGTGCTCTGCTCTCCCTGCCCGCCCGGCTCCTTCACCAGCTTCCCCAACGCGCTGATGCACTGCTTGTCGTGCACGCCGTGCCTCCACGGTCAGTCGCGTGCTTCTCGCCACATCACCGTGGCCCGCGTTGAGCCGTTAACGAGAAGCCCCTCGAACGCTGTGCATCTGATTCTCGTGTTGGCGAGAGCACACGTAGAAACCGTAGCGCGTGTAGAAAGCCGCACCTGGTAGGAAAAGGAATAAAGTACAGTCGGGCTGTTTGCTCAAAGGGGCAGGGGGGGGGGCAGTGACCCGGCCCAGCAGTGGGGCAGTCGCCGCTCGCCATTGCGGAGGTTCGCGGTTCGTATGTATGTTGAACTTCTTTCGCCCTGGTTATCACTGCGGTCTGTAAATTCACCGTGATCATGCATGCAGTCTGCTTCGCAGTGAACGTTAAATATTCCGTGCCGTTATTCAAAGAAGTGTAGGCCATTTTGTGCGGGAGTCGGGGTCCAATTTTCAAAAAAAAAATATGACTTGCAAAGTACTCGATGGGGAAACACAGAAAACACCTCAAACCATCCTCCTGAAAAGGAGTCTTGAGGCTTTCCTGGGTAAGGTAAACAAGTGTAGTAAATATTACGTAAATGTTTTAATTGTAACAATTGTCAATCCACTCCCACAAGCCCTCAAATCAAGCAATGCCACATTGTTTTGGGAGGTAAACTTTGGAGTGTGCACGAGCTCAAATTGAGACCTTGGAGGAGTTCGGGGTGGCCACAGAGTGGGGGGGAGCTCTCGAGCCGTGTTGCTGACCGCCGGTGCCCCGTGTGTCCGCAGAGAGGGGCCTCGTGCTGGCGAGGAACTGCTCGCGCGACGCCGACTCCACCTGTGGCTGCGACTCGCATTCCTTCTGCGCCGTCTTCAGTGGCCAGCACTGTGAGCTCTGCCTGAGAAACTGGACGTGTGCGCGCAGCCCCGAGACCACGCAGGGTCTGTACTCGCCCCGTCGCCGGCGCGCCGCTCGGCGAAGGCTGGTTTTTTCTCGAGCACCACCACTGCACCACCCCCATGTCAAACATTACACTGCGTAGCCAGGTGCTTTAGGTGCCCTGTGCTTTGTCAGCGTACCAAAGGAAACGGCAATGGGATCGTGGTTTTGAATCCAAACAGACATCTGTGAGCTAACACGTAGGTTTTATCACGAATCAAAACTGATTCATGGTTAGGCCACGTAATGATCTGACCAAATACTGTATTCATAATTAAGACATTGAGCACCCAACACAGCTAAACAAATGTAACTGTCGCTCGGTGTACAAGCAATCATTGCGCCAATTATTGTGTCACCTCGTTTAGCAAATAAAAATTAAACGGTGGTGGCTGTCTTAATGACACGAACTTGACCGGATCATTACGTGGCCTAACCGCAAATCAATTCTGAATCAGTAATTTGTGATCAGCACAGTGCAACGAGCAGCCGGCTGCTGATTGGCTCATCGGACACGGTGCGACTCGTCTCAGTTGGGTCACTATCCATTCACCATACTTCCTCGTGCTGGTCATTGTGGATTGGTGAAGGGGGGGGGGCATGAATAGTTCAGATATCACTTTTCACTGTCACCAGGAATCAAACTCAGATTGTCGGGTTCAGTGCGCAGTGCGCTAAACTGCTGCGACATCGCGACACACCACATCAAATTGGTTTCATGCCTCCTCGTCATTCAGATTATTGCAGCATTCCAGTGCATCGTACACTGTCTAGTGCTTGTTTAAATGTAACTTTCAATGAACATGATACTGTATATACTTTGATATGTTTACGTGGAGAGATAAGTAGAGGCGTATTGTCCGCTTATTGATTGTAATGAGAAAGCAGGTTCGGTGGCCAGATTTGCCCACCTCGTCTTCACGTCCTGGTGTGTCCCCCTACGCCTCGTGAGCCCTGGAGCTCCATGGAGTCATCCCTTCTCATTCGTCCCTCCCCCCCACGTGTGGACAAAACGAATGAGAAAGTTTTAAATGAAGTATAATGGAGGCTTGGGTTAGATTAGGCTATGTCCATAGGCCAAACCCGTGAACCTGGTATAGAAACCATCCTCAGTGGTCGTGGAAATGGGGCATTAGAAATCTGTGGGATTCTTAGAATTAATGCATTTGATTGGCTCATAGAGCCGAACTGAAGAAATTCGTTAGTGACAGTCGGAAACGCTGCTCAGGCCTGAGTGGCCTGACCAGCACATTTGCCGTCTGTCACTGACAATCAACGGCCAAATCTCATCATCATCCTCATTCCGTGTCCGAGTCTAGAATACCATGGTAGATTTAATGTGCTGCGTTGTACTTGTGTGGTACGCGTACAGAGTAATGGCATTGTATGCACGTGGAATATCTGGATAGGAAATCCGCCGACCCCTGGGACCAGACAGATGGCTCAATCCTCGTATGCACGATGCCCCAGCCGCCTGCATGTGCCGCGTGGCAATGGGGACGCGTCCTTGCCAGCGCACGTCCAAATTGGTCACTCTGCAGTCCCGATGAAACGCGTTTTTCCACCCTGAAGATGCCACCTATCCGGAAATTGGCATTTGTGTTCGTATGACAGGAATTGAATTGTACCATACCGATGTCTTGTACTGGTATTGTGGTTAACTTTATGACAAGATACTGCAGAGGTTTCGTAGTCCTCGGGTTGACTGAAAAATAAGTGTGGGTTTGGTCAGTGGAAAGGTGGCATTGCTTTGCCATCCAGATTTTATTTTTTCCAACAATGCAAGTTAAGAATTTCGGAGTACTGGCGAGTCACAAGTTGCAAGGCAGCATTTTGTTAAAGGAACAGCTGGTATTAAAATACGATTTTTTTTTCAAGATTTTACTCAGAATTTTATTTTAAGTAGCAGGGCCATAGCTACTCACAGATCAGATGTAATTGTTTCAAACACTTTGTATTCTGTGCATTTCTTACAAATAACGATGTACAACCTCAGAACCACGCATGGTATTGATAATTTACCCAAAGGTGACATCATGTATCTGACCACAATCCTCAAACTGTGCTTCACGTGGTGGCACTTTCCAAGGCATTGCCACTTTGCAGAAAACCCCACGTATATTATGATCCACGATATTGGTCCCCATATCATGCGTTACACGTTTGGGATTAAACAAATCTAATTGCGGTGTATTTTTATTGTCCTTTGAAATTAATTTCGTTGAGAGTTTTTTGCACAAGCTTATAACACCGGTATTTCACCCAACAATGCTTCACGCGTGTGTGATTAGTCGCAGCATGTGAGCATGCCGAGGCAGATGGGAAACACGCCACGGATCCCAAGAGCGAGGAGCACATGGGCAGCATAGCCGCTGCATGTGAGGGGCACGTGCGAGCGCTTGAGATTCCTGCGCGAGCGCAGTACTGGAATAGCGTTGACGCTTGGCTACGTGCTCGTGGCGGGCACTGCCTCGACTCGTGAGCCTCCCACAGGGCCAGAGCTAATGGCGCTGCGAATGAGCCACGGAGAGCTCAATGTCGGCAGCATTGGTTCAACGCAAGCAAACTCTGGAACTGTTTCGACATTCAGTCTCTCGTCAGCAGAGTCAGGGTTGCTTGAACCAATGCTTGTGTTGCTCACCGCCGGTAACACATGTGCCTGACAAGGGCTTGGGTTTGATTCCTGACTCGGGCGCTTTTCTGTGTGGAGTTTATGTTCTCTCCCAGTTTTGCATGGGTTTTCTCCAGGTTTTCCGGTTTCCTCCGAAAGCTAAACCCACACACACAGTGGAACTGGTGTTGACCAAACATCCCAAAGCTGAAAGTGGAGCTGCACATTTCTCATTAAAGACATTATACACAGCAGCAGCATTGCCCGCTACTGTGAAAACTTGTCAGGAGCCTTCTGAAAAAGTTTTGAGGTTACTTAGCCACCACGAACGTTGCATAGGTCTGATACGTGTCCTTTTCACACAGGTAGCCTGCATACAGAGGCTGTGACACGCATCCTCATCGGGGTGTCCGTGTTCGCGCTGTGCATCCTGTGCATCACCGGATTCTTCACGTGCAAGTCCTGCGTGCTGGCTCTGCGCGCGCCCGGCCGGTAGCGGCAGCCCCAGTGACGGCAACGCGAGGGCTGGCACCGCACCGACGCACCAGGACACCCCGGCACCACACCGGCACACCAGTACACACCGGCACACCATGACACATCAGCACTGTACCACCACACCGGCGCACACCAGTACACACCAGCACTACCAGGCACCTCACCGGCACCTCACCGGCACAGCAGAACACACCGGCACACCAGGACACATCAGCACTGTACCACCACACCGGCGCACACCAGTACACACCAGCACTGCCAGGCACCTGACCGGCACCTCACCGGCACAGCAGAACACACCGGCGCACCGGCACACCAGTACACACCAGCACCCACTGCTGTGGCTTCACCATGGGTGGACGCGAGGCTGCGCCAGTGGAGCCGACCACTGCGAGTGCCAGATCCTCATCGGAGGAGGCCAGGATCGTGGCAATCCTTCTGCGTCAAGGAAAGTCAGTAATATTTACTGCAAAAAATACACCTCTCTTCTTCTTTTTGTACAGTTGCTGAGTACAGGCCCAAGGGCTCGAAATAGTAAAGCGGCCAGCAACAATCAACACCATCACAGTTGTAGTCGATAAGAATGACCACATTGCTTGCATTGAGCAAAGTTATTATAAGGGCTTGAGAAACGAGAGGATGGGAGGGAATTCAGAATTTGAGCAGTACAACGGAAAAAGCAGAAATAGAAGTGTTGTGACCTGCAGCGTGGTGTGTGGTTGAGTCAGTGAGTGAGTGAATGGGTGAATGGATGAGTGGGCGTGTTATCTGCAGTGTGGCGGTTGAACAGAGTGAATGAGACCAAAGTCAGTCTGGCAGACAGTGTCCTTAACACAGGTGGAGGCATCAAAGAATGACATTCAGACGAACAGTGACCATTGGTAGTAGTGATCGAAGAGTGATAAAGAGACAACTCATCACTGCTGAGGGAGGGGCTGGAATGAATCGGTGAGTGCTGGATCATCATTCAACCTGACTGCTTCACTCTGAATTCTATCAGATGTCGTGAGGTGGGAACTGGGTACTCCAGCCCAGGCACGAGATAACCTCTGTGGAGTGGCCTTCTATCTGTGCAGTGTGACGTGGCGCATGACGCGTACGCTCTAGCCGTGTTTTGCCAGGCACTGCAGCTTCAATGATGTGGCACTACCATCGTAAACATTTGTTTGATTCCGAACGTACAATATCTGGCAAATTTACTTAAATAATAATGAACTTTCCTCAACATTAAAGTGTGATTATATACAACTTATGATACAGATGAGTTACGTGAAAAAGGTGAAATAATCTTTATTTACATAGCACACTCCAAATCGTCCATAATACAGGTTTTCTTTTTGGGTTAGATCGCGTAAATACATGTGTTGTTTAAGCCGCCACCACTCGACACAACCAATTAGTAAGGTTTTTCACATAAACATAACGAATTGGCATGTTCTGTTATTATGGATAATTTTGGTTCGCGAAAGCCCACGTATTAAACACACTCCAATTTGATGTTGTAAAATAACGTGCAGCGGTGAGCTCGTAGCCACGAGGCGCGTTTGTGAGTGGACGTGGTGTTGGGCGAACAGAACATTGAATCGGCACCACTCAGATCTTGCATTTGAATTCTAAGAATTTCCCCAAGGCAACACTGTGATCACTCGCATCATCTCAGTGTATTATTTATTATGATTGTACTCGAGAATCTCAACTCTCTTTATCAGGAGGGTCCTGCCAGGGTCTTCACAGTACGGGGTGATGTTGCTGCTCAGTAATTGCTGGTAATGTTGCAGCTTTGGGATATTTGGCAAATACCGGGTACATTATTGTGTTTTCAGACATGGGAGGAAACCCATGCAGAACGGGGGGAGAACACCTAATTTCCTGGTTGATTTGTAGCTCAGAGGTGGCAACTGCGGGAGCAACCCTGCCCCGATCCGCGACTCACGGGAACCGCACGAGGCCACTGCGCGTCTACAGGGCGCACGCAGGCGTGGTGCAGCAAAATTGTTATCTCGGCATGTGTTTCTTGCCCAGTTTTTATCATTCATATTAATAAACGCAGAAGACGTATTATATTGTGCTGATAAACATAAACATTGGGCCACGTGACAAATCTCAATGTGTGACAATTCATAGTTTTGCCAATGGCCACTCCCAACTGTATCCACATTGGTGAGGAGTACGAGCGAGGAAGACCAAACACGGGCATCCTTCTCCAGTCAGCCCAAGTCGATCAAAACACGGTGCAGTTTCGTGCAATAACGTTTCAACACCGGTACCAGATCATGGTACAGATCCATTCCTGCCACGCGAGCACAGATGCCAATTCCCACATTGGAAATTGTGGAAAGGCACCCCTCGTGCGATGACACAGGGGACAATTTACTGTCTCTTCTTCAGTAGCGACCTCTCTGCGTAGCCACACATCTACTTGTCCGTTCCTCCGGTGTCTCCACCACCCGATATCCAGCCGACCGACTTATGCAAAACTTCCCCTTGAGCCTTGCTCGACAACAATCATTTAAAGAAATGTTTTACGTTGCATGTGATGTGCTGACCTTTCAGATTCCATAACCATGAAATGCAGACACTTGAAAACATTGTTTCGGAGTAAACTTCAACGAGTGTTCTATTCAAACGAGGACCTCAGATTTGCTAATTCAGCTCTGGCAAAGGATGAGAATTAGGTCTCCGTTTAAAAGCAGACCCCTGGTCCCAATGGGGTTTAACCTCGTCGTAAAGGTCACAAGTCTACGAACATTGGCGCTCAGGAACACGTGCCGGACTCCTTCCTGTGGGTGGCGACGTGGATCCTGAGATAGCGCATTCGCCACTCGTTGTGGAGGCTCACAGTTCGAATTCAGCAGCTGCCCTGGTTAATACTGTGGGCGTAGTAACCGTACTAACCATATGCGTGGACCTTAAAATCCCCGCACGTTATTCGCAAGAGTAGGCCGATGTGTGCTGGCATCAAGATCCAAACTTGGAAAATTCGAAAATGACCCGCAAATTACTCAATTAGGAATCCACACCCAGCAGCCAAGTATCGTCCCCTACTGGTAGAATAATGCCCCAGGTCACACTTACGAATTACCCTATCTTGGTGTCTTGGGTTCCTACCTGGTTTCACAAAATAAACTTGGAACTATGATTCCACGTTTAGTATGAGAAAAATTTAACCCTCAACCTTCGTCCAAACAATCCCTTTAACTTGTAACAATTGTAATCTTCACAATAACCAATGAGAGGGTGAATTCATAAAATGATCTCCAAAAATGTCAAATTACTTTCTGTCCTATGTTCATGTTTACATACATCTGGTACTGTGCTATAGTAAAACTGTAGCACAGTACCACACACACACATGCGCGTTTGTAATTGCAGACAAAACTAGATTGGTAATCTCTTCTGTAGTTTGGAGAACTGCTGTATTTTAAAATGTGTTAGTTGAAATATACGTTTTCTGTTAATAACAGGCGTCTGACACATCCGAGATTCTGTGCAGATTTACTTTAACTGTTTTATTTTATTTGTTGAACTGTTAAAATACATAAAAGCAGTTCTGGGTTTCAGTTTGTCTCGTTCTAGCAACAACCATTTGGCCAACAAGACACACAGAAGAGGTCATTTACAGGCGGAAAAATTTATTGGCTATGGTTAATTAAAATATTTCACCTGGGAAATCCCTTGAGATGGAACATTCATTACCAAGGTGTCCAGGGCGTCAATTGTCATAGCCATCACAAACACATCACTGCCGCATATACCAAGTCCATGGGATTGGTCCTTCACAAACCAAATTGTGGCCTACTATTGTAATGACGACTGACACACTTCTCTTGAGATGGCACTTCATTGAAGACACATTCACCTGACACAGGCAGAGACCCCACTGCAACAGCCTGAGTCTCCCACGCATCTCCCTTATATACCGACGGCAGGCCACGCCCCCCTTCCCCAACCTTCTATCTGACTCTGGACGCTTGCTCCACCAGCAGACTCTCCCGTCTTCTTCCGTCACCTGACCATGCTCCATCTTGATCATTCCCGTAGCCACGAGTCCCTTAGTGCTCACAACTGATACCCGTCATTACCTGCCATGGCCACTAGTGATATTCGCCCTGGAGGCTGACTCCCCTGTCACTACCCTCCCCTGGCCACTAGTCCACTCACACTCTACTGTCATCACACTATCTTAGGCAACAGCAGGACAATGAGGCCACTGCATAGCGATGTCACTTTGTGAGTGCAGTGTAGCTGGCATTAACCCGCTGCTGCGTTGTGCCTCATGCTTACTAACCCACACATACACTCGCATAATCAGATAATTGGTATCACGAGTATCTTTCAAGACGTAATTATCTAAATCTTTGTAAAGGCCCTTAAAACATGAGAAAAAGCTGGCGATTAAAGGATGTTCTAACAATGATAATCAAGTGCATTCGGTATTCGCGACATTCTTATAACGCAAAGTAATTATCGCAAAGGATGGCGCCGCTGTGTTTTGTAGACATAGTCTCCAGTGATTTCACAGCAGGGGGCAATGACGTTGCCGTGTGAAATCCCAATTGGCTAACTTGCGGTATCATAAAAAAAAATTGACAAATTTGGACCATGACACTGGCACGAAATGGCACGGGATGTTTAATGTCTATTGCGAAGAAGACAGCGTGTTTCACGGGCGATGCACACCTGGGAATAACAAGGGCGGCTAGTCGCATTCCAATTGCAACAACCAGCGAAGGCGCTACCGCGGGTCCACGGAGGACTTATGGGCCATATCGGCCCATCGTCAGAACCGCCCAATGTCAGTCTCGCTTTTGTGGCGGCTGGCGTGGCAAAGGGGGGGTCACCGTCTCTGTAGGCCTCCACCAGCACCACTCCGGCGCACACGGTCACAAAACCGCACGCCGCACCCAGCGCCGCTACCGCGCTCGCGCCGGCCCACTCGCGGAACAGCACGGAGGATGCCGCCGTCACCGAGACGGTGAAGCCGGCGTAGTACACGGGCACCACTGTGGCCGAGCTGGACACGGCCAGTGCGCGCGTCAGATACCGCAGCTGTGCCGGCAGCGATACCGCGAGCACCGCCGCTGCGGCCAGCGCCAGCCGCGTGGCGTGCGGCGCGCCGGGGGGCGCCGCCGAGGGCAGCAGCTCCGAGACGGCGAGGCCCAGGCCCTTGGCGCTCGGCACCGTGAAGCTGCCGAACAGTGAGCAGATGGCGATCGGCACCAGCGCGTCAGAGCTTCCGGCGGGAGATGCCGCTGCACGCACGAGCGCCAGCAGCGCCAGCAGCACCAGGGCCACGTAGACCCAGAACACTGCAGGGGTCAAGGGGAGACAGAGAAATCTCAGAGAGGAAGGATTACATGATCCCTGACTTGCGTCAGGGATCTATCACCCGGCCGGGTGGCTCAGTGGAAGAGCGAGCAGCTCGCCGTCGAAAGGTTGCGAGTTCAATCCTGGTTGGAGTTGACTCAGCCCAGTGCAGTGAGCGGGTGAGTGAGTGTGTTGTTATGACCTGCAGTGTGGTGGTGGTTGGACACGGTGCAGATGAGACGAAACAGTCAGTCTGGTAGACCGAACCCTCAACACGAATGGTAAACATGTCCGTAGTGATAGAAAAGAGAAACAAAAGTGATGTAAAGACAAAAAAAAAAGAGACCCTGTTTGGCAGCTGGACGTGGGTCTTACCTGGGTCAGTGAGGCGGTCCTCGAGCTCAGCCAGACGCTTGACTTCGCTGCCCTTGGGGGTGTGGATGATGATCTCAATGCAACCGACACAGCAGAGCACGCACCCCAGTTTTCCGAGCGGGGACAGCCGCTCACCCAGCAGCCACGAAGCCAGCACGGCCCTGACAGTGGCAGCAGCACACGCAGCAGGGACAGTGACAGCAGCACACGCAGCAGTGACAGTGACAACACCAGCAGCAGGGAGAGTGACAGCACCACACGCAGCAGTGCAACAGTGGCAACACCACACGCAGCAGTGACAGTGGCAACACCACACGCAGCAGTGACAGTGGCAACACCACACGCAGCAGTGACAGTGACAACACCACACGCAGCAGTGACAGTGACAACACCACACGCAGCAGGGACAGTGACAACACCACACGCAGCAGGGACAGTGACAACACCACACGCAGCAGGACAGTGGCAACACCACACGCAGCAGGGACAGTGACAACACCACACGCAGCAGGGACAGTGACAACACCACACGCAGCAGGACAGTGGCAACACCACACGCAGCAGGACAGTGACAACACCACACGCAGCAGGGACAGTGACAACACCACACGCAGCAGGGACAGTGACAACACACACGCAGCAGGGACAGTGGACACACCAGCGGACAGTGACAACACCACACGCAGCAGGGACAGTGACAACACCACACGCAGCAGGGACAGTGCAACACCACACGCAGCAGGGACAGTGACACACCACACGCAGCAGGGACAGTGACAACACCACACGCAGCAGGGACAGTGACAACACCACACGCAGCAGTGACAGTGACAACACCACACGCAGCAGGGACAGTGACACACCCACACGCAGCAGGGACAGTGACAACACCACACGCAGCAGGGACAGTGGCAACACCACACGCAGCAGGGACAGTGACAACACCACACGCAGCAGGGACAGTGACAACACACACGCAGGGGACAGTGACAACACCACACGCAGCAGGGACAGTGCAACACCACACGCAGCAGGGACAG